CAAGTTTGAGGCGTTTTGTACGCGGATCACGTGAGATTTCACCCGTGTCATCCCTATAATATAGAGCGTCTACCGACGCTCTGATATATACCTGAGAGGATCGACCAGGAGTGATCGTGCCAGGCCACCAGGCAATAGCTGGCACTCTCTGCCCTCCTTCCCACGTTGTCCCCTTGCCGCATCGCAGAGGACCTGCGTTGCCACCACGGATCTCTCTCATGAGCGACGGACTGGGGCAGGAGAGAGGAGGAGGGAGGAGAGGGGGAGGGGACAGAGGACAGGGGAAAAGGGACAGATAGAGGAAGACAGAAGACACATGGTTTACCAGTAAGTACATTTTAACCAAATAATCTCCTCACCCATTGTCAGAGACGAAGAATACAAGGGTGTTGTTGCTGACGCCGGCCTCGGTGAGAGCGGAGAATATCTGCCCCACCCCCCAGTCCAGCTCGTTCAGCGAGTCTCCAAACTTGAGTCTTATGCTGGTGTTTGTGAACTTTGGACTGGCAAACTGGGGGTGGTGCGTGTGCTGGAACGCCATGTAAAGGAAGAACGGCTCGTCCTCTCCTGCAGACACACATTATCAGCCACCTTCTCTGTAACAAATGTGTCGCTAAACGAAATTGGAAATTTTTCAATAAAGATTGCAAATTCCAGTTAGAAAACCTTTTTGTAACAGGTCTTGGGGCAAGTTTGTTGTCTCCCTCTCACTTTATTATTAAAGCTAAGTGTAGAGGTAGCTAACCAGCCTTTGTCTTGATGAAGGAGGTTGCAGCATTGATGTACGTGGCAGTGAGTGAGAGGAGATCAGCCGGCTGCTGGACAATGTCCGTGTTGTTAAACACCGGACAGGGCGTCTCATCTGGGAACCAGAGAATAATATATATATACACGTTATTATGACATCCTCGTTCCATTTATAACTGACAATAATCATTTTGCCTACCAGTTCGACAGCTATCGAAGCAAGGGATGTTGGGAGCAAAGCAGGTGAAGCAGGGACAAAAGTCGTGTGAATACGGAATACCCTATATCGAAACAGCAACAGTATGCAACAGTATGCAGCCAGTGGAAATGTGTGTGGCCTGTACCAAGTAGTGGTCAAAGCCCTGGTTGGTCGGAAGGTAGGTGTTGTTGGCGCCAACTCCCAGGTGCCACTTGCCCACGATGGCTGAGCTGTAGCCGGCAGGCTTCAGGAGTTCAGCCATCGTCACCTCGTCATGGGGGAGACCTAGCGTGTCGGATATACCAATATTGTTCTATCCCATAGATAAAAACCTCTGCTAACTAGCTCAGATTGCCTCACATCATACAGTAGACGGCCTAAAATAATGGCTGTAATATATACTAATGAACTGTATAACTCAAATGATTTATCAGAGCTGTAGTATCAATTGGCTCACATCATAGTTTGCAAACCTTCAGTATACGAAATCATTGATGTATGATACCACGAATATCTATTGACTTGTTACAGACATTGGGATATCGCACATTAATTAATGGGATGACAGACCTCCAACATTAGCAGGATTGAAAACTCCGGGATATATCCCACTCCTGGTCTGGTAGCGCCCTGTCAGTATGGACGCTCTGCAAACACACACAAACAAAGGTCGATAGCTAATGGTTCACGTGGTCTAGGGACCTGGAGGGGCTGCAAACGGGGGAAGAGCTGTAGAATGATGTCATGACGAGCCCCTCAGACGCCATCTTGTCCAGGTTTGGAGTCGTGGAGGTCGGATGACCGTACACCGCCAAGTCCCCATAGCCCAACTAGCTAGTAGACATTGAAGGACGCCATGTAAAAAAACTCGCATGTGTTTCACGTACGTCGTCTGCAAACAGGAGAACTATGTTGGGCTTGTCTGCCTTGGCTGCTGCTAGCTCCAGACCGAAGAAGAAGAAGGCGAACGCCAGCAGGGAAACGGCCATGCTTTTAGCAAAGAGCACCCCCGTCGTAGCTATGCGCATGCGTAGAATTAGACAATAAAAGCGTGTTGCGCTAGCTAAAAGTGGTTGCAAGTGTGTGAGAAGAGATGTTTTTCGTTGCATTCTGTGTTGTTCAGCTGTTGTCGCTGGCCAGCGGCGAGAGCGGGGCCGCATCTGAGCTCTCGCTCGTGTTCCTGAGCGGAGAATGCGAGGGTAATCCATCTCAGCCGTGGGAACACTCGCTGGAGGAGAATGCTGCCCGAATAGCCGCGGAAGACGTCGCCGTCTGCTCCGGAGTAAATCTTCCCGTCAGGCTCACTTCGGCTGCAGCAGTGAGCTTATTCGTATTTTTTAAAGATGTGCATCCATGCATGGCTTTTTCGTGTGATTGATTGTCGAGATTCATAGCTAGGATTGTTCCAACCACAAACTTGCAACTCAGGAGGATAGCTCTGCAGTAAACAGAGAGTTGGATGCTCTACTGGAGGTGGTGCAGCCTGCACTGTTCAACTCTAGTCTGCAGACCATTGGCGTCGTTTACACTGGCTGCTCAGAGGGTGTCAGAGTATTGGCAGAGGTCCTCAGCAGCAGGACCTACCAGATCCCCCTGGTGTGCACCCTCTCTCTCTCTCTTCTCTCTATTCTTTCTCTCTTCTCAGTTGATATATTACATGCCGACCTTATCTCTTGCACTGATGTTTGTGTTTACGTTGGCCGTGGTAAGCCACACTTAGTTTATTTCCACACTTTTCCATTCAGTCAATTAATGGTGGCATGTGGTAGGCACTTGCAAGTGTGCCACCATTAATAGATTAATCAACATATCTGAGGAAATTACGTGATTAGCTATTACTCTATTTCTTATAAACAGCTCAGTTTTCGTTTCCTTCCCTCACCGCACCACTCCACTGGAAACCACTACTACCATACTCGTATTGTCCCGGAAGAAGCAGCTCTCACTCCTGCAGTTGTGACTGTAATCACTCAGTTCAGCTGGACGCGAGTGGCCCTACTATCAGAGAACACTCCTGCTTTCAAACAGGCATGGAATCCATGACTGCTCCATAATACTCTCCGTATTTTTTTAACAATTGGCTTCAAAGGTGCATGGGTGCATGGCAGGGCCCCAGTTGCATACAGGATGTTTTATTGAGGAGCAGGTTGCTGGCCCACTCTGATACTTTATAGATAGGTATACTGGAAGAAGTGGGTTCTCACCTGTTAACTTGTCTCCCACTGTGAACTAGTCTAGTAAGGCCCCTCTTCTGCCGACTGCAGCTCCACAACGACATGCTGGGAGAGCTGGATGAGAGTGGTGTGTCTGTCCACCATCAGCTGATTCTTGACTCCGCCCCCAAACTCCTCCCACCAGACACACACACCCTCTTTGTAAGACATCAGACGACCAATCACAGCATGTGATCCTAGTGACTCGTATTCTATGTCTCCATTCCTGTTTCCTCTGCTGGTGTTTAGGGTGAAGATGTGAAAGTGTTTGTCCTTAATATGAGCCCACTGCTAGCCAAAGCCGTCCTCTGTTGGGTGCGGCCATCAACCCCATTATCGATGTGCTGTTTTGACAAAAATATATACCTTTTGCCCCCAGGCTCTGCGTGATCTCACTTACCCAGGGTATGCGTGGATCACCTATGGATGGTATGGGGAGCGATGGTGGGAAGAGGGAGAGGAGGATTCGGTCTCCTGCACAGCTCAGCAGCTAGCTGTCTACCTGGAGAGATCACTGGCTGTCTCTCACTACCCCACCTGGACGGTAGGAGAGGGCTCGGGAACTGTGACCGACCAACCAACCTGCCTGAAGGTTTGTTGTTGGGTCTGCATTCTTCACAGAACTGCCGAGTTTACTAAATAGGAATAGTTTTGTAACTTTTTGTCCTGCTGAAATAGAAAACGCACCATATCCTACAAAGTTGGTATGTGTCAACTTGAGAAAGGCAAGGCAAGGCAAACAAGTCAACTACACCCAGGACAGTATGACATTTGAATATTATACACATGATGGGAAGGAATAATTATACTTTCTCTTTACTCTGCTTTCATTTTTCATCTTTCTCACCTGTATATACAGTCTGGCCTTGAGTTGACTAACGAGCTCCTCCTCAGAGCCGCTCCGCCCACGACTCCGCCCCCTGGCCTCCGTTCACCACTCCCTCCCTCGGTGTACCTGGTCTACGATGCCGTCTGGACAGCTGCATTGGCCCACACCACAGCTCCACTCTCACGGTACCCCGAGACAGTCGACAAAGTCTCCTTTGAAGGATCGTCTGTAAGTGATCCACTTTCCTCTGTGTGAAGGTTTTTTTACCACTGTCTTTCCAGGGCCTCGTGTCGTTTGGCAATGGAACCAGAGAACTTTTCCAACTCACTCTCTTTCAATACAGAAGAGGTATGTAGGTAAAAATTTGTGCAACCTGGAAAAATTATTCTCATTTTTGAAGTGCATCATTATAGCTAGAAATGTGCATAAAAATAATGTGCTTCATTTTTTTGGCTCAGTGAATGGTGAACTGCAGAGGGTGACAGTTGCTAGTCTTACACCTTTGGAAGACAGCTCTCACTATGACATCACTTTTAACGAAGGGGAAACCCCTGCCACAGTTTGGCCTAATGGGGTTCCACCCGATGGGACACCGATACAAGTGGAGCATTTTCCTTACCCTGCCCTGATGGGTATTGTGTACACCTACTCTCTACTTGGTGTGCTGTTTGCCCTCGGATGTCTCGCCTTTAATCTGGTCTTCCGCAAGAGAAAGTTAGTTTTTCTTCTTTCAGTCTCCTTGGGGATATGCAAAAGTGTTAATGGAGGAAAAAGCAACAGTGTCAATAGACTGGGAGACTAAGCTGATGAGATTTTCTTGGAATCGTGCTGCATCTTATGCAGCTTCTATTGTTGCAACACTTTTTCATGCAATCGGCATGTCGAATTTGATTCAACACTCCTTTCTCCTCCCCCTCTCTCTCTCTCTCGCAGGCTGATCAGGTTGACTAGTCCAAATCTCAACAATATCATAGTCCTCGGGGCCATTGTTCTTTACCTGGCTGGCCTCGCCTTCTTCTACCCCCAGGGAGCCTCTCGCACTGGCATCATATGGGGCTGCAACGTTAGTCTTCTCCCTTATCCCTCCATCCCTTCACTCACTCCTCTCCCTTCTTGTCAATCCCCTCCCTCACTCCCTTCTTTCATTTCCCCCTTTGTCTCCCTCCCCTCCCCACAGCTAAGGGCATGGACGGCAGCCCTTGGGTTCTCTGCATGTTACGGAACTCTCAACGTAAAGATGTGGAGAGTCTACTCAATATGTAGGAACCCCAGACCTTCCATGTCCAAAAGTGTAAGTCATGCTCCAAAGACCTATAATTTTTTATGAGAATGAGTTGTGCACTCAACAAATTTGTTGCATTGTAAGCCATGGTGTGCATGTGCAGCGAGGGTTAGAGTATTTTGTTTGCTGTCTGTCTGTGTGTCTGTTAATGCTATTCTGGCACTTACATGGAGCACAGTTCAATAGCCTCTCAGTCCTTCAATATGGGACTGATATTGGATCTGACATGAAGATTTTCCGTCGGTCTTCCTATGCAGCTGATCAAAGATTACCACCTGGTGTTACTGGTCCTAGGATTCGTGATGGTCGACACTATCACACTAGTGGTCATCACGTCTCTGGACAACTCTCGATTCACCGTCATTACCATCCCCAACAAGCAGGATCCCACCCCTCGCATCAATGTACGTATGTACATGCACATGGGGGGGGGGGGTGCATTGCATATACTTCACAAATACTGCTCCAATGTATTGGTTCACCAACCATGATTAAGTGGACCATTAGATGTGATATACCTCAGTGAAGTTCTGAGTTCAATAACACATGCATTAAGAGCTGTGGTTTTCCCTTTACCTTGCTACCTTGCTACCTTGCTACCTTGCTACCTTGCTACCTCGTTGTTGACATAGATTTTATGCATGTTCTAAGGAGAACTGAATACACTTATGAGTGTGTCCCTCCCTCCTTGCCCTTAGGAAGAGGGTATAAAGGAAGTGTCGGTGGTGTCTCGTTGCCTCTCCACCACTGAACCCTATTGGCTCTCAATCCTCTTTGGTTACAAGGCCATCATCCAAGCCATCGGACTGTACCTGGCTTTCAAGATCCGCAACATCAAGATTCGCGGTCTGAACGACTCGCGAGAGGTCTCCATCACTCTCTACATATCGAGCATGATTCTTTTCATCGTTGTGGTAGTGACGTTTGTCTATGGTGACTATATTGATGTGGACGGGTTTGTGTATGGTTTTGGACTCTCTACTTGTGCAACTGTAGTCCTTTCCCTCACCTTCATTACCAAGGTGGGTATAATACCTACAGCCACTCTAATGGCCCTGTAGTCTATAGTTAAGCAATCACTGGGAAGTGAGGCATGCCTTCCTACCTTATGCAACCATACAATCTTTAGCTTGTGTATTCATCACATACCAATGCTGTGGAGTGTAACATTATTGCAATGCTATCTGCACATATTATTGCAACATGTCTCCTTTTTCTGCAACATGCTCATGCTTGCCTGAGGTGCATGGAGATCTCACCATTTCCCTCTCTCCCCCCTCTCTCCCCAGATGGTGAATCTCTACAGGGATCCTGAGGGCAAGGACATATTCCAGGCCCCCACTAGCACTGATGCAGACCCTGGGACTGACATTTACTACCTCCAGAGGAGAGTCAGAGAGCTAGAGAAACAAGTGGAGCTGGCCAGAAGTCAAGAGGTCCATTTTGTATATCTTTGTTGCTATTCATGACTTTTCCCTCCTCTCTTTCTGCAGAACCTGCTGGACATTGGAACACCCAAATCACTGTCTATTGCACCACCTCCCATGTCATCGTCAACAAACACCCCACCCAGCACTAGCGACTCTGTGACTACTTCTAGAGCACAGGCACCTTCCGACTATGAACAGTAAAATCGATGTGCGAAACTGATGTGCGCATGCGCAATTAAGTACGTCTTATGTGTACAGGTTCATTCAGCAGTAAAGTAGTCCGTTTGTTTTTCGGCTCGCTGGGCGATATGGAAAAGGCTCTGGCTGCAATATTTGCAGCGTGCGTGCTGCTGTCTTGTCTCGACGGGTGGGCGGTGCGGGGAGAAGGAGACTCGGGCGATGGCGAGCGGCGGACTGCGGCGAAGGTTTCGTTCCTGCAGTCGCAACGTGTGGCGGAGTGGTTCGACGACAGCGCTCGAGACGCTCTGCTGGCTGCCCAGCTAGCACTCAGGGACCTCGCCACTGCAGGAGCTACCTCGGGGGACTCCTCTCCCGACCCGGAGCTGGTGAGTGGGTTGGAGAACGTTTGTCGACTTATTTCAGCGACTATGAATAATGCGTCCATGGGCTAAGTTCGGCGAAGTGCTGGCTGGAAATGTCCATGATTAGAAAATAATATGACAATACCAGAGACTAGATACATAGCTCCAGCCATGAATAAGGTGCTTTTTGGTTTTTCATACATCTCTGATTGAAAAAAAGCCAGAAAATAGCATGAGTGGTCAGCTGCACGTTTCCTAACCTACTATATACACACTTATGCGCAGCAAACTGAGTAAAAGAGGGTTGTGGGTATAAAGTTTGCATAGCTGTAAGGTCACTGCAGGCTACACATGGGTTACATCATCAGCACATTAGGAGGAAATGCAGTGTGGTGTGACTTTAAATGGGGAATCATGGGGAACTTGATGACCAGGGTGGCATTCACCTAAGCACACTCACTGTTAGCATAAGTTGAAAATGGAGAGGGAAATACATCTTTCTTCCCAAAAACGTGTTTTGTTTTTTTTCCATTTGCAGGTGGCATATGATAAGGACGACTTGTTAGGAGTCAACGGTTCCGTGGTTGCCGTAGTGAGTGCAGTGTGCACTAACGAGACTTGCCACGCCCACTCTCAGTCATCACACGGGATTCCAGTAGTAAGCACATCACCCTTCACTCGGGATCGACTCTAAAATTGAAACCTCACAGATCTCAGTTTCTCCGTCATGTCTTGGAGAACGCCGGTACGTGAACTCCACCACGAGTGACCAAAACTCCATGACCCAGCCCTCCGCCCCGCTCTGCATGATCCCGTCTCTCTCCCACCTTCCTCGCGGCACTGCAGCTCTCATCTCCAGCTACGGCTGGGTCCGGGTGGCTGTACTGACTGAACTGGAGAGCCAGCTGGTTATGGTGGGTCCCCCACTCCACTACTGCTTCGTTTGTCAATCCTGCAACTGTGACAGGAATCCCTGTGTGTACTACTAGCTGGGTTTGTACACACTGAGAGGGGGTTCACAACTCCACATGCACAGTCATCACTATTACCCACTCGACAGTAGTAGTCACAGTTGTCTGTGGAAATTCTGGCACGCCTAACATGTCTACATGTTCCCAGAATTACTGTAATTATGTGTACTTTTTCCTCGGAAGAGATGTGTATCACGAGTCGCTAGCTAAGGTGTATGAGAATATTGAAAATGCTAGAAAGAGCTCAACATGCATTGTACAAATCTCCATAGGATCCTGTTGAGTTGTACCAGGAGCTGGTGGATGCTGGCATCACAGACATCATGGAGATGCCCCTCTCTCCCAACTCATCCCTCTCTGATGCCCTGGTATGGGGGTATGGTAATGTGTGTGAAAATTGTATTGAATTTTGATTTTTTTCAAGCATCGCGACTACCGTATCGTGATACTGAACTCTTCACCAGTTCTGTCAAGACTTGTCTTGTGTGAGGTGAGAAATTCCCTCCACCTCCCTTCATAAACTACCAAGTGGAGAGGTTCCTTCATAGACCTGTATATTTGACTGCCAAATGTTTACTCATGTGGCACAATACTAAACTACGTATGTTATCTTTCTTCAGAAAAACAATCATGCACTTTCAATAATGTCATAAAAGTACATTTCTCACCCATCCCGACGCACACACACATACACACAAAAGGCTGTTCGAAGAAACCTCAACAGATATGTTTGGATCACACCCGGATGGTATCCCCGTGGGTGGTGGAGTAACGAAGGAGGTGCCCCTGTCGGTGACTCCCAATCATCACAACCGCCCTCGAGCTGCTCAGACAGCAACCTGGAGCAGTTTATAGGGAACGGAAGAAGAGTACTATCGATTCTGCAGAGCCCTCCTTACACCAGCAACAGCGTGAGGCGTTGCGTAACACTTTTGACTGTATTGCAGTTTTGCCATTGTGTCAGTGGAGAGTAAAGGGAAAGAGATATATCTAGACAATCCCTCTACTCGCAAGTAAGAGTAGGCTGCCCATCTGTGGCTGCTGTCCTGTAGTTTTGACCCACCATAAGGAATGGTCTTTGTGCGATGATTAACCAAGAGTATATATAGCCAGCCTGCTATATTGCACACCAAACGAGGAGAAACACTTTGACATAGGTGGTTTATGAAATGCCTACCTCTTAGTTTATAAGCACCTTTTCTTGTGCAAAGTCCATTTATTGTGATGTCTGTTTGAACCTCTCAGTCAAGATCGATGGAGTTCCAGCAGAAGTGTCTGGAGAGTGGTCTGAAGGACTGTGTGTATGCTAGCCTGGCATACGATGCAGTGTGGGCCATTGCAGAGGCACTCGCTGAGACTGGAGACCTCCGTGCAGCTCTGGGAAACTCCACGTTTGACGGAGTTTCAGTGAGTCTACAGAGCTAGCCAGATACATAAACACTTACTCCTCCCTCTCTCCCTCGCCCTACCTCTCCCCCTCCCCTCATTCTCTAGGGTTCAGTGAAGTTTGATTCTCAATCTTACCGTGTGTTGGGTGGTTACAGACTGGGGCAGATGAGGCTCACATCAGGTGCATTTGCAATTTCAGAGGAATGTTTATATATAAACAGCAGCAGAACCGTATTTTTATTGTAGACTCCAGTATTTCAATGAAATCACATATTATATCATTGGTAATTTGTCCCCGAGGACTCAGAGAGGTTACTGCACTCCACTTTACCACACCAGTACTGTTCTATCCATACAGACGATGGTGGTCTAGAGAGTGTTCCAGTGGCCACTCTGACAGAAGAAGGCTCCAGTGCAGGACTGGTTCTCTCCTACCTCCCTGGAGAGTCAGAGCTCACGGTGTGGGGCGAAGGGGGGCCCCCTCCTGACGGTTCCCCGCTGACTGAACTCAAACACCCCCTCACCTCCCTCGTTGTCATCTGCTCCGTTCTCTCTGGTGCCGTCATTATCTGGGCCATCGGCTGCATCCTCTTCAACCTCTACTTCAGGAAGAAGAAGTGAGCCTCTGCCCCCATTAATGCCAAATTACGTTACCCCTATTCAGTCTTCACATTTTCCGTAGTTTGCGTAACTTTTCCATATCGCGCGCACCCCTTGGAACACCCTGTGAAAGTCTTACTAGTCCTTTTTTCCCACCAACTGCAAGTTTTTCCCTATAGATAACTTTGGCTCTCTCTCTCTCTCTCTCTGCACTGTACCAGGATAATCAAACTGACCAGCCCGACTCTGAATATGATGATAGCAGTCGGAATCATTCTAACAAACATGTCCACACCACTAACAATGTACCCAGGTCTACCTGGTCTTGAGGAGGCCCTGCCCACCGTGTGCATTGTGAGCCACTCACACACACACACACACACACACACACACTCACTAGCCCCACTCCATAATGCATGTGTTTGTCCATTTCAACTGGTTACTTTGTGGAACGGGAAGGAAAAGAAATCAAGGAAAGATTAACAATAGGAAACTAGTGCATGTGGCAGGCCAATATGGGGTGGATTATATAGACCCCTACTCAACTCTAGAATTGCTGCATGTAAACAGAGAAAGATCGTTTAGGTGTGTTTGTGTAGTATGCCAGTGAGTGGTGTATTGTTGCAGCTGAGGTCGTGGTTGCTGCCCATTGGGTGGTCTCTCAGTCTCTGCACCATCTCTGTCAAGATGTGGAGGGTGTTCGTCATCTACCGCACCACCAAGAGACTCAAATCACTCAAGGAAAAGAGGGTAAATTTCTCTACACTAGTCCTGACTACACGGTAAATTAATGTGTCTTCACAATTATTGTGTGTGTGTTGTCTGCTACACAGATGAGGATATTTCTTCAAGATAGTTTCATGGTGGCAGTGGTCCTGTGTATGGTGGTGGTGGACGTCATTGTACTGATCATAGGGACATCCCTGCCCCAGACACGCTTCACTCCGCAGCGCGTGCCCGACAGGGAATTCCCCCCCTATCGGAATGTGAGCTCTGGCAGGAGAGAGAGGTGTGTGTGAGAGAGAGAGAGAGAGAGAGAGAGTAGAAAGAGAAATGGAAGGGAGAAGAAAGTAGTAGGGGAAATACAGGCATCTCAATTCTTGAGTCATGCTAATCTCATGTGCCCTGCAGAGCGAGGATGTGGAGGTTGTATACGAGAACCTTCAGTGTGTGACGGATAAGGGGCTCATCTGGGTGGCCTTCCTCTTTGGCTACAAGATCATCTTCCTCATCAGCGGTGTCGTTCTCGCCGTCCTCTCTCGCAAGGTGAAAGTGAAAGGGCTGAACGAGTCGCGAGAGGTCCAGGTGACCATGATTATCTCGACCCCCATCGTTATTACGGGGCTGGTGTTGCGACTACTCCTCTCAGACTACCTCAACGTGGTGGGGACATTGTATGCCCTCAGTGGCTCCCTCTACGGAGGACTCATTCTGGGAATCATATTCTTGCCTAAGGTAACATAAAAAATTATCGGTGGCTATCAATTTTTTGATCATTAAAGTTATGTGGTATTTTTATAGTGGTCATTTGGCAGCAGAGCCTTGTGTGATACATGATTTTACCAACCCCACCACAACTCAGAGTGCTCTTTAACCCTCGGCATGCATGCATGGGGGGCATCTATTAGAAATCATTGTGAATCATTGTACTAACTTGTGATGATAACTTGGTCCTCTGCAGATGGTGTATCTGTGCAAGAACCCGTCAGGAGACCAGATATATTCCTCAAAAATTGGCAAGACCCAGTCACAAATATCAAGAGACCGGTCTGCAACCAGCACCAGTGTCGTGGCCTTTGACCCCGCACTATCTCTCAAACCACTCATCCGAAAGGTATTGCTTCGTATAAAACAATTTCACTCTCTCTCGTTTCCCTCTTAGTTCCTTTTAGCTTGCACTTTCTCCCTCTTCATGGCATGCGGCTAGTTTGAACGTAGCATGTATAAATACAGTGTATGGCTGTGTGTATGGTTCATCTTTCTCGGTGTCTGTCAGAGCTCGGTGGAGAGTGGACTTGGTTCCTCGGTGGCAGAGGAGGAGGGAAAGTTCTCAGAGAAGGACTGTAAGAACACTGCCGTCCCCAGTCATATCCTACCCACAGTAAGCAAGACCCTGTTTGATAGGGGCCTTTATGCAGCCAACTACAAAATCTTCATTCTCAAAAATGTGAATATATACGCCTTTGAAAAATTCGCAAGCTCGATGTTCCTGCCTGTAATGAATACATTTTCTGTGACTCTTGTTTAATAAGACACCCCCCCACAAAGTGTATAGCTTAGTCCCGATGCATCCATTTTGTGACACAGATTGAGGAGGCAGCGTGCAGCAATGGTACGACACCTGGTATCAGTGACTTTAACTATTCCGAGGAAGTGGGTGTGGTTACATCTCCTGGTGGCAGTAGCTCACACCCTCGGATGGATTCAACCAGAGAGGAGGAACAAGAAGGGGCGGAGTCACAGAGCCAATTATAGCACCGCTGTTTTATTATACAATCAGATGTGAATCACAAATCATGATTTAACTCTAGGCACAAACAAGTGTGGTTTGAGTGTTTTATATTTCAATAGTTGGTGTGATGTAATAATGACGTAATTGTTTCAGGAAACAATGACGTAATCGCCTCAGGAGCAATCAGTGTCGACAATGGTAGGGGCGTACTCATCAGGCTCGGAGGAGAAGTCCCAGTTGTACTGCTTTGTGAGGTTGTCTCGAAACTGGAGGCCTTTCTTCACCAGTCGTGAGTCCAGGGAGCTGCCTTGCTCCAGACAGGCAAAGAAAACCTTGCAACAGAGAACAATAGTTGGTACACGTTGTAGAAAGAGATGCAACTTGGATTTTGGGAGGAAATAGCTCATTAGATGCCTGCCGTGTCATAACAATCGGCAACCTTTAGTAGAGCAAATGAGGATACTTCAAGTAGTGTTGATATATATACCTGTAATGTGGTGGTGAGAAAGTTGCTTCGAGAGACAATGTCGACAAAGAAATCGTCTGGTATCTCTTTCAGCTGGAAATGTAGCACGGCTAATGCAACAGAGAGGGAGGGGTCATGAAGATAGTTGGAGGTGAGAAAACGGAGCTCTAACTGATAAAGTTGGTGAAGAGCTCAGTCTGGTCAGAGAGAGCACTCTCACTCATACACAGCAGCCTCACCAGCTCCTTCCAGTGCTCAAATGCATCGTACACTGCAGCAGACACAACACACACACACACACACACACACAGTATTAATGTATATGGTTCTCCCTGACATGATAAGCTAACCATGAGCCAGGAAAAAGCAGAGAAAAGCCAACTGTAGCTCCCCCAGCAGGTCTCTATCTTCAACAGAACAGCAGACAGGGAGTGTGTTAGTGAAAAAGAGTTGAATCTCACAGTGGGTGTGGTTTGAGGTCATTAACGACTGGAGAGTGTAGCTGAGGTCCATGCAATGGTGGCTGATCTCAGAGGGGGAAGCCCCCACCGGGTGCCGCTGCCTCGGTACCTCTGAAAACCTACCACACACGACCACAAAGTGTACTATTGTATGTGCCTATTGTCATTTCATTGTGTTGGAAGGTTCATTCTCAATATGCAAATGTACTGAAGTTTACCTCAGTGCTGTCTCTGGTTTCGACTTGAAGAGTGGTAAATCTGTTCTCCTCTTCTGAGAGGTACTGTCTACACTTGGTTCAAAGTCACCCACCCCGGCAAATCTTCCACCTCCATACCCCCTCCCTTCTCTTTCTCCTTCCTCCTTCTCTCCCCCTCCTTCCATCTCTCCAGTTACTTCCCTCTCTCCCCCTCCACTTTCTTCCCTCTCTCCCCCTCCTTCCCTCTCTCCCGTTACTTCCCTCTCTCGTCCTCCTTCCCTCTCTCCCTCCCCACTGCCGACAGCAGATGTCTCCTGCACAATCTGGCTCACCGAGGTCACCTTACCACTCAATGGCTGGATCCTACATAGCACACACACCGCCATACAAACTCTCTCATTTTACCTCGAGACTTTGCTATATGAGAACCAACCTGGTGACAAGGTCCTGTGAGATGTGGTTGGAGAGGGAGACCCATTTCTTGAGGGTATCGTAAGGATATGGTCCCAGTCCCTGGTCCAAATCCTTCAGACCTGAAATAAACAATTCACAGCTTCAGAGAAAGACAGGGATAGGGGGGGACACCTGCTCTTATCCTCTCCACCATCTCCGTGGAAATGCCTTCGTCTGTGAGATCTTCGGTTTTATGATCCCATTTCATCACCAGAACCTTCGGAGACACACAACTATGTCTCTGTGAGCCGCAGTTTTCTCAGAAGAACACTTGCCTCCTGTCGTTTGAAGAAATGAAAGAAGCCAGTTCTAGGTGCTGCATCTCCCTGCTTGCTCACGGCACTGACGAACAGACACAGAGCGGTAAAAGGTAACTAGGGGGTCTGCAAACACACACCAGTAGTAGACGAAATGGAGTCCAGGCGGGATCATCTTGACGCCCTTGAACTTGGGCCCCACGCTCCAAGAATTGTAGTCGATACCGAACTCCGTCCTCTGGGGCACGTCCAGCAGCACAAGAACCGCTCCCTCTGCAAAGAGCCGTCTCGCCAGTTCGGGCTCCATCTTGGTCTTGGGCGCATGCGCGTCATGCTCGGATGGGCATCTAATAGAGTCAAGCAAGAACGAAGTTGACAAGTGAAGTCAGCTATACTGGAGGAGATGCGGAGGAAGATACGTTATATCGTCACAGCGTTTGTGCTGCTGTGGTTGACGGTGTCCGTGGTGTACCTGCTTCCTTTCCTCGTCGCATCTAAAGAAGACCCTACGTTCGTGAGTCTTTCTGCAGTGTCTCAATGTATTCAGTCTCGATCTCAGATCATTCTGCGTTCTAGCCTTCCGTGCGACGCCTCCGCGTTTTGCTTTTTCTGGGACTATATACTTGGTCCATGTCACCAGTAGCCGTCCAGTGCTCAGCGATGCTTCCTTCACCATATGCGTGTAGAAGCCAGTTTGTTTTACTTGACATACAAGTGCAAAGGAAGCAAAAGGGATATTAGCTTATTAGCTTAGGCACTACTATAAGACATCAGCTCTATAATACAGCTACAAACAACCCGAGGTAATAAAGTAATAAATAGGTTTGCAAACAAAATGCTCTCAGAGTAGGCAAAAGCTGTGTTGTGTAGTTTGTTCCTGGCAATTTGTATGTTAGCATGACAAGACAAATTGCACTGTGGCATCACCAACTACACATGTTTGGACACAATTTTGAGAGGAACCCACAAAGGTTTGACGGCATATGCGGACGGAGCTCCTGTCTCTTTGATTTGAAAAACAATCCACTAAAATCTAAAAAGTTTTTTTCCGTAGCTCCCTTCTCTGATACTTTTTAGCAATACAAGAGTTTTCTCACGTAAACGCAGTTTTCATTATCTGAACCCACAGTATGATCACAGACCTGCCAACAAGAAACTAAATAGCCACGCAGAGGTCCCTGTGGACTACCATCAGGTGAAACAAGATCAACAAGTAGCTGAGGACGACAGTCCCTTGAAAGACCAGCCGAAGAAAGTGTCTCCGAATCTGATTGGTTTCAACGAGACAAAGTATCTGCGTTCGTCTCACAAGAACTCCGATGCCTACAAACTGAACGCGTTCAATCAGGTCGAGAGTGACAAACTGCACAGCGACAGACTCATTCCAGACACTCGAAACTACAAGTGAGAGGACGGGAAAAGATGTGTTAGTACTAGGAAATATGGGGATAAATTTCGTTTGCCTTAGTATCATAGCGTACCCGTGTATATACTTTTGGCACACTGTTTCTACTGCCAATTTCATAGCAATTTAGAGCCACTATACGTTACTGCCCCCCACCTTTTATGGGCCAATCTAGTGCTAATGTACTCCTCCTCTCCACTGTAGGTGTGGGTCTAAGATCTACCCCAGCCCCCTACCCTCAACTAGTGTCATCATCTGCTTCCACAACGAGGCTCGCTCTACACTGCTTCGTACTGTTGCCAGGTAACACAGTACACACGTCTCCTCATGAGTATTATACTACGGTAGTTGCTGACTCTGCCTTGTGTGTTATTATGGTCAGGGTTTGGCTGTTTTAGTAATTTTGTTTGTGTGTGTGTGTGTGTGTATGTGTGATGCAAACTTTATAACTCCAGTGTCTTGAACAGAAGTCCTCCAGAGCTGATACACGAGATTATTCTTGTGGATGACTTCAGTGACGATCGTAAGCCAAATTACTTCCTGCCTTGCGCAAAAACGAACGGAAGCAGCGGGGAGCATGCGTCAACGTTGCGCGCGCGAGTACGTATGAATAACATTACGAAACCACAATCGTAGCTTTCCACTCTGCCTACATAAGACCACTCCGCGTTCAGTTCGTCAGCTTTGCGCAGTGGCAGTACCGTAGCCAGTGAGGTTTAACCGAGGCGCGGTTATTGCTGATTGAAAACTTATCCCAATATCCCGTGAGGGGGACGTGAAATACCGTCCGCCTTACAATTTTTGGAGGCCACTACGGTGGTCGGCAGTAACAACAAAATTAAACTCACAAATGCACTACATAGTAGAGATCTGCAGCAGAGAATCTATCTCTGTCTCGGTTAGTGTTCACCCCCCTCTGGGTTTTGCATGCAGCTGAAGATGGCAGGCAACTAACTCAGCTCCCGAAGGTGAAGATAATCACAAATGACATGAGAGAAGGTGAATGCCGTAGATCTCCCTCCCTCACCATTTGCTTCACTGCGAGTGCCCTGCCACCCCAGGTCTGGTGAGGTCAAGGGTGAGCGGTACGGAGCTGGCAACAGGGAAGATACTGACATTTCTGGACAGCCACTGCGAGTGTAACACTGGCTGGTTGGAGCCTCTGCTAGCCAGAGTGGCTGAGGTATGTGTCTGTGAATGCACCACTCTAGTGGAGGTATATAGCAATGTGTGTGTGTAGGATCCTACGGTGGGTGGTAAGTCCAATAATTGACGTCATCAACATGGACAACTTTCAGTACGTCGGAGCCTCTGCAGAGTTAGTCGGAGGTGAGTGAGGGGCAGCCCCTGTTCGTTAAACTCGTTACCTCCCCATCCTCATAGGGTTTGACTGGAGTCTTCACTTCAAGTGGGATTCCCTCTCGTCAGCTCGCCGTGCCAAGCGAAAAGACCCCACATCTCCCATACAGTCAGTCAATAACCTCTCTACTTGAGTCTAGTTCCACTGTTTGTCTCCCAGGACACCGATGATCGCTGGTGGACTGTTTGCCATGGACAAGGAGAGATTTGACAAGACTGGACGATACGACACGGAGATGGACATCTGGGGAGGAGAGAATTTTGGTACAAAACACCTCATTACTATGTACTGTATGGCAGGAATAGTTTGATGGTAACAAACCATTGACTATTATTGCTACTATATATACACACCCCTGAATGATGAGATCAGGGTGCAGTGGTTTATTGCACTGCTCCTGTTATACTTCAGAGATCTCGTTCCGGACGTGGATGTGTGGTGGTTCCATGGAGATAGTGCCTTGTTCCAGAGTTGGCCACGTCTTCCGGAAGAGACATCCCTACACCTTCCCCCAGGGAAATGCCATGACATACATCAAGTCGGTCCCCTCTCTCCTCTCCCTCCCTCCTCTTTCCTCTCTCTTTCTTCACTAGTATACACCCCCCATCCCCCCTCTCTTTCTCCTAGTAAGCTCACTGTCTGTCGCAAAACTCTCTCCTCAGGAATACAAAGAGGACAGCAGAGGTGTGGATGGACGGCTACAAGAAGTATTTTTACGCGGCTCGGCCGTCGGCCAAAGGCAGGAACACCGTAATGGGAGAGTGAGTTCAGTCGTCTATTGGGTGGACCCCCATCGTTACAGCATCCATTACTGTTGTTCCAGTATATCAGAGAGAGTAAAGTTGAGAAAGGAACTGAACTGCAAGTCCTTCAAGTGGTACTTGGAGAACGTCTATCCAGAACTAAAGTAAGAACACCGCAAAATTTAGGGGCAAAAGCAAAAAAGTGAAGAGTGTTAGGGTGTATTATGGAAAAACAGCAGACTTTTATTATACAGTCATATTTCAATGTGCAATGCGCCTCAGGCATTACAGTAAAAGTGAAGTGGTGTTTGTGTGTGTTTCTCAGTGTCCCGGAGCCACTGGATGTGGAGTTTGGAGAGGTGAGACAGAACGAAAAGTGTATCGACACCCTGGGCAGAGGAGTCGGAGGTTCTCCTGGTCTCTACAAGTGCCATGGAGGAGGTGGCAACCAGGTTAGTGTGTGTGTATATATGTCTTCCTGGACCCAGTCTCCAATTCTTGCTTCTTCCTGCTGTGTTGTAATCCAGTCAGCATGTTTCACTGAATCTTCCTCTCTCCTCCCCTTTTACTCCCCCCTTCTCTCTCTCTCACTTCCTCTACACAACCCCTCCTCCCCCCTCTCTCTTTCCTCTACCAGGCATGGTCCATGACGTCAACAAAGGCGATAAAACACGAGGAACACTGTCTGGGGTCACAGGGTTCATCTGTCGTTCTGTGGACGTGTATCTCGACCTCAGAGGACCAGCACTGGGAACACAACTCCATGAAACAACTTGTTCACAAGTCAGTCGCCTCACTAACATTGTCAAGAGCATGCAATACAAGATGGCATGGTTTCTCTGACTTTTTTGGATACAAATAATGTCAAAGATGCTTCTGGGAGCATGATTACACTGCATTAACTTCTGCAAACCGTATTAAAGAATTGAGGAGTGTGTGACTTGTGTGATGTGTCTACAGAGGGAGTGGACTGTGTCTGGATAGTGAGGGAGACAGAGTCCAACTCAGCTCCTGCACACCGCCTCGCTCCTCACTCCTATGGTCCTTCACTCTCTCCAACATTGAATCCAGATGATGCCCACCACCTCACACTGAGTGGTCAGGTCCTCCACACCGCGAATGAAAAAACTTCATCCTCCAATCATTTTAATTTTTTTCGCCTCCAAGTAAAGCATTTTAGAAATGTTGGAATTGAGTGAATTTGTGTTTAAATTTTGCCACCTTCTTTTCTACTCATTGTATGATACAGAATCAGATCCTCTAATAACTTATGCCAACAAAACCCCAGAAGCACGTTACAGAACCAGAATGTGCATGACAAACTACAGACAATATACTGCTACCTACTAAGTGGCTGCTGCTGTGAAGGGTCCACTTGGTTCTGTAGCTGATAGTGCTCCTGCAATCTCAGAGATAATCTCTGGGTCATCTTCACGTACTTGTCCACACAGTGGTCGCAACACGCAATCTGCAAGGGGAGCAGGGATAGGTGCCAGTTACTCGAGTGTTTTTGACATTGAACTGGGGCCTTTGTATGCTGAAACCTCTGCATAAAGGACACCTTGGGACAAACATAGGTGTGTTAGTATCCAGGCGTATTTCATAGGTGTCCTTTATTCGCAGGGGCTTTTATCAGAGATTCACTGTATAACCTCTTCTTTGGTGACTCTCCTCGAGGTGAAGTCCCTGACGCAGTCCTCGAAACAGTTTTGGGTCACGTGATTGTAGGTCGCTATGAAATCCTTGAACTGTAGAGGCGATAATGACGCAGGGAGCGGTAGTCAAGGTCCTGCGGCTCTATACCGCTTGCAAACACATACCTGGTTGACTTCCAGCTGCGCTCTTTGCTGCGGAGTAAGGTTTTCCATTCGTTTCTGCTCCTCCCGAGGGTGTATGACCGTGACCACGTGGCAATACTTGGTAGAGGGCGTGGCTTTGGCAGCCTATATAAAGCAGCACGTGCACAGGCAGGGGGCAGGCACAGTTGGAACGTTGTTTTACACTCAGCACAGCCGGAGTTCAGCAGCAGCAAGGCAGGGAAATGTCCTCTAGTCGTGAGCAGTTCTTGTACGGAGCCATAGTCGGTGCAGGAGCCGTGGCCCTTGGGGCAGGCGCTTTTCTGGCCACCTCCGGCTTGTGGTGTGCCTCTCGGCGTCAGCCGGTATAAGACACTGCATTTTATCGTTTCACTGCTTTACTCCCATGTGTACGTGCACAGCAACACGACCATACGCGCTCCTTGGATCATGCTCCACGTCACGGTCACGGACACGGGGACCACGATCACGAACACGAAGGATGTGGCAGCGATTATCTCTTCAGAAACTTCATTACTGGACAGTATGCCCCGCCCGAGGAGCTGGCGCTGTATCCGTTCACTCCGAAAGAGTTGATCGAGTTCCACCGCAAATGCGCGGACGTCTGCATCAAACACAAACAGGTGTATAGCTATTTGAGCTCCACGAAGTAACACTTTACTCCTCAGGAGGGAGTGGAGAGTCGGGCGATGGAGGTGGGGTGTGCTGCTGGTCGGACCTCGTTTGAGCTAAGTAGAGGGTTTGACTCGGTGCTGGGGGTGGACATCTCTCAGGCCTTCGTGGACAAGTGCAACGAGATCAAGAGGATGGGGCAGACCGAGTACTGGCTGCCGGGAGAGGGAGAGCTAGGAGAGACCAAGATCGCTCACCTCCCTCCTGAAATCGTCAGTCCCTCTCCTTTTTTTACCAACTCACTCACTTGTTTTGTCCTTAGAAAAGGGACAGGGTGGAGTTTGTGCTAGGTGACGCATGCAGCCTACCTCCACTGGGGCAGTTTGGCTGCGTCTTCTGCTCCAACATTCTCTGCACAATCAAAGACCCACACAAATTCCTGCGAGACACGCACAAGTACGTGGTCCCTGGTGGGACTCTGGTGATGGCTGAGAACTATATGAGACATGGAGACGCTGCTGAGGTAAATCATAACGGTGGAACAAGCAATCCTAACCAGCCCAAGTCCCTCCAACAATTTCTAACCACATAATTGCAATTTTCCTGTAAGAATTTCTGCTATGCCATTGGTCTTGTATATATAAATATCGCAGGACAAAAGCTCACGGTTGGGTGGATACAAGGA